GTCCCTGAAGTGTTGCATCAACTTAAAAAAGATATAAAACAAGGGCTCTCCCTGCTTGCTTTTGAATCAGCTTTCACTTCTCTGCACAGACAGGTGATGACTTTTTCCCAGATTGCAATATGAATAAAGACCTTACTAAGTAATCAAGAATACTTTCTGTGGCTCCTTTATTCTAACCATAAAAGTTTCCATGACACTTGCTATCTTGTTTAAGTGTACATTTCACATACACACATGCTATTATTGGTACCTCTCAAAACATTCAGCTTTCTGGTAAAACCTGCAAAACCATTTCCTGTGGAACATCTAATGGCTTCCTAAATTAGGTCAGCATACTGGGTACTATAAAGCAATAGAAACAGATCACATTTCACAATTTATAACAATTATATATACAGTATGTATATATTAAAAAATTATACAAGACATCTGTTCCACATTGCTGCTCAATGTGTGTGCGTTTATAATTATGTTTATAAGCACTTATATGGTATTTTTGGATTGCTGCAGGGGGTGGCAGAGGTATACAAAAGCATACAAGTGCAGATCTGTTTTTTGAGTCATTAATTTAGGCACAACTTACTCTTCAGGGGACACACCTTGAGTAACTACTGGGCATCTGGTTTTCAACAGCTATAGAGACATTACTGAAGATGACTGTGGAACGAACAGTTCTTTCCAGACCCTATGCGGACGACACAATCCGAAATAGTGAGGAAACACTGGGGAAAAAGTCATACAAGAATATGGTGATGAAAACGGGGGGGGCGTGTCCATGCAGTGCTGGTGATCCGGGGAGGTGTGGCCGAGGCAAACAATCCAACGAATAAGCCCGGGGGAGAATCCAAAAAACAAGCAAGAGTCCATGGCCGGGTAATCCATCAGAAACAAGGGACTAAAAACAGGTGACGGGTCGGGACCAGCAGGAGCGGGAGCAGGAGCAGGAGCAGGAGGCTAAAACCATAATGGAGCCAGGAGCAACCAGGTCCTGAGCTCGCACGATGTGGAAATCAGATGCAGAGCCATGATTGGCAACTGTGTCTGGCTTTTAAAGGGACAGGAAGGAGACTGGAACAAGGGGCAGGTGCGGGGAATAATACAAAAAAGGAAGAGCCGGAGTGCCCTTAAGGAGGAGGGACTACAATCGTGACAGTCTGTCCTGTTGGAAGATAAAACAAAATAAATTTCATTTCTTTTTCAAGAGACTAGTGTTAATCCAGTCACATTTACCTGAAGGGTAATTTGTTAAAAATGAATTTCTTAAATAATAATATTAAGAGTCTCATAAATGCATTTCAGTTCCTGAATTTCAAAAGATTCCTAATACAGGACTTTGGACTGGAAGTTAAAGGAGTTTCTAGTTCTAGTATTTAGTCCTGTACTACTGGCTCAGAAAGATCTGACACTTTTCTGAAGGTGTTAGATGGGACAGTAAAAGTGAAGCAGTGAAAAAAGCTGTGAAAAAACTGCACCCAGGGTTTCAATAGGATGAACCTAGATTCCCTAGCTGAAGGATTGCTCTCTCTCTCCTGGTTGATCATTTTATTAGGCAAGTGTATTAGTTTATTGGCCTTATGGGTGCACTAGTGAAGATTCACTACAAGACAGAATAATTACAATCTGCCTCCATGATGGTCACTCTTGCATTCAGTTTGGGGATTGATGTACTGTACCAGGGAGGCTGCTGCATGATCCCATTTTTCATAGGAAATTCTGTTTCCTCTTAAACAACCCTTATCTAAGAAAAACACTTAAAATTATCTTAAATTTAAAGTACTTGGGTGCTTAAACACGTTTTGCCTCTTATGAGGATTTAAAACAGTTGAGCCTGTTTTAATCAACCTATTTATCCACCCATATGTACGATGTATATATTCATCTGTTTGTCTTCTATAAAACATTTTATATGAGCATATCTGGTATGGAATTTTTATTTAAAATATTGAATATATGAAGCACATTTTTTGCTTGCTTTGATGCTAAAACTAAATCAGTGGGTTTTTTTTTCTTCACGGGTGATTCAAATTAGAATATGTCACAAAAATCAATGATATGTAAGCATGATGTCAATGATATGTGACATCATGCTTACAAAATCAATGATATGTACTGACACAATAATACATATTGTCTGCTAAGAAAATGTGCTTTCATATAATTCTTTTTAAAAATAAGAAATTTCAGAGGTAAAAAATTAAAATGAGTAATTTGAGCATATGAAGTAATATACTTTTGAAAAAGGGTGACACTGAGGCTGACGGTACTATAAGCTTGAATATTAATCTATATTAGTCACAAGGCTGAGTCATCTCCTCTGTGCTGAATTTACTGTAGCTTTTGACATCAAAATGTGGTAACATGTTAAAGACTACACCAAAATTACTGTGTGTAAAATGTGAGGCCAAACTGGGGAAACCAAGTGGTGTTCTAACAGCTTAAACCTCAGTGTTGTGACAGCATGTACTATGTGTGGTAACAGTGAATACTCAGTTTATTATTACAGGAAGGCTCTAGGAAGCAAAAAGTGCCATAGATAAATTCTCATGGAGACAGGGAGAATTATGTTGACAGTTAAACTTAACAGAAATGTAAGTAATGGTCCATAATTAATTTGAAATAATTTATTTTTCAATATTTAATTGTTTGAAACAAATGGAACATTCCAAGCATTTATTAAAACTGCACTATTGAATATTTAGCTTTTAGATGAAATTACTCTATGTAGGAGATTTTCAGAGCTGTCTCTTGTGGGCTGCTGTCTTTTTTTATCTGTTAGATGACTGAATGTTAATAAATGTAGTTGTCACACTTTCACAACACTTGGAGGCAGAATCATCCAAATTTTTAATTCTTCTTTTGATTAATGCAATTAATGAAATTGCACTTTTAATTATAAAAATTAGTAGCTATGGGCAAGTGTTTCACACTTATCAAGATTCATCAGTGACTCAGGGCTAATTATGACAAGTAAAAAGTGTTTTTATAAACAAAACCAAGCATATGCTATTTATCAATAATCAATAATCACAATTTGTTCAGCTGTCAAACTGGAAAGTAGTACAGCTGTCAGTATATAACAACTGTATTAAGTCATGGACTGGATCTGCATACAACTGCACATTTGAACACAACTGTGATGCCAGGGACTTACACAAAATAATGTATCCTGACTGTCAATAGATATAGATTTCACCATGCTATTCCCCTTATCTCACTGGTTTATTATTGTCATGTTGAGATTAATTTTTCAACATGACAATAATGACATACATGCAACGAACAAAGTGAAAATCTATTTGGAAAAAGAAGCATTGAAAACAAGATGTAAAGCTATATATATATAGCTATATATATCCATATGCTGAACAATCCGGTATATTTATTTGTTTTTGGTTATCTTCTGCACTAATGAATTGTGCTTATGTTTGTGCTCTTAGCTAATATACTTTTCATTACATATCCACTTTCTCCTCAGTTTCCATATTTATTTCAAATGCTGTAACTACATGACTGCAGTGCATTACTTTAGAATCCACTCCAAAAATGTACTTCTCTTATCAGTCATTCATTTATTAGTAAAAATGCTAAAAGTGTTAATTACAACTGATTCATTTTGCAATTGCAGTCATGCAAATGCAAAATTCAAAAACTAAGATAAAATATGTAGAAACTATTGATAAAATGCCTATCTGTAAGGCTACTAAATGAAAATAAAATAACTAATACCTTTACATGAATGAGTAAAGATTATAATGTCTCAGTTTCTGTTCTAACATGCATTTGTGCTCAAAGGACAGTTTCTCAAAAGATGGAAACTGAAATGTTAGAGACCGGAATCTGGTCTGCTGCCAAGTACCACAAAAAAAAGGTAAAAAAAAGTGTAACAGTACAAAATGTAACATTATTTATGTTTTCTGAGTAGGGTCTTGAATAGTGCAATAAGAAATGAAATACAGATGTTATGGATTTTATAGCCGACACCTAGATTGATTGATTGATTGATTTGTTGATTTTTCTTCTTCTTCTTCTTATTATTATTATTAAATGCTGCATTCAAAACAATGAACAGTAAACAAATACTGCCAAAATATGACAATGATAGATTGTATATAAAGAAGTCACAATGATTTAAAAATTAACCAAATACAGTATAATAACACACAAAATGATTAGATTTTATAAATCTAAATTAAACATTCGAATTTATTAAGATGATAGTTGATTTGGTTCTTTGAATGTTGTTGTAAAAGTTGGAGAGGAGATCAAAGCATGCCTACTGTACTGTGCCTATGGCTATCAAACTTCTTGCTCACTTGCTTGTACCTTTCACTATTGCCAGGGCCAGCCCTAATTTTTTGGGGTCCCTAGACAAGATTTCAAAAAAGAGCCCCCCAGACTACGATGTGCACGTATACTCCTATGATATCAGCTCCCACTTCAAACTTATCTTACTATTTAGAACAATTAAATAAATTAATTATATAACTAGAAGACTTTTATTAACCAGTGTTGAAGAACACATAATAACTTATAAACAAGAACATGAAGCACACATTTCATAAAGATAATGTATTTCAACATTGAAAGGTATAAAAGGGAACATTCTTAGCAATACATAAAGATAAACAAAACCTACAGTATGTTACTTCAAAATCAGCGAATAACTAGAGCTCTGAAAAGCTCCTTTGCTCTGCTCGCTAATTCTACCACTGTCACTGGGAGATTGACTGCAAACCGAAGGGCTAAAGGTTGAGTTCACAATACCCCCATTTACTGAGAACATGAATGAGTTAACTTATAGTAAAACACCTCAAATAGCCTACATATCTAGCTTGAAATTGTGTCATTTCTATCATACATGGATCTGACAGACCAATAAAGTCTAAAAAGAAAGTGTTCAAGCAAGACATGTATGTTACACTGCATTCAGTTTTTATGACAACAAGAGGAAACTTAATCTCATTGCCACACCTCAGGAAGCGTGTGTTGTGAAACTGAGACCGAAAACTCTGGTACACTTTTGGACTGCGTTCTCTACACACTGCTCACTAAGAAACTTTGCCAACATTATTATTTTTTATTTTTCAATTTGTGATTTGTTAAGCTTTCAAATTACAAAAAATGTCAGACTTTGTTCTGTAGATTTGAGGGACTCAAGAGACATTGTTAGTATAGAAAATGTCAGACTTTGAAAAATCAGAATGGTACAACTCACAAAGGAGTCTTCAAAAAGTTTTTTATTGTGACTGTATCAGGAAGGCCCTGGAAAGCTTTCTTCCTTCCTATTGTATCATTGTATTCATTCCAACAAAAACACAGGATTTCACGAGATCAACGTACATTCTGAGAATCAAGGATGGAAGAAACAATGACAGATGATCATGTTCTTGAAAGGAAATGGAACAGTTTTTTTTTAGGGTTTATTTAAGACTAAATTAGAAGCCCCAAATGACTTAAACTTCCGGATGCCTGGATACATTTTAATTTTTAAATTTTTATTTATATGTATTCATTTTTAATTATACCTGTAGTACCTTGCCTAACATTTGTTTTGCAGAAAACTTTGGTGTACGTACTACAGTATTTGGGGAGGAATTCTCTCAGGTTAATAGAAAACAGCTGCAAACTGAAGAAAATGTGTAAAGGATTGAGCAAGGCCCTGCAAAGCATTTTAATAACGTTACTTATTTTTCAGCAATTTTTTACCTCATTCCAAGGAATTTCATCCCAAGGTAATTTCCTTATTATTTACAGTATATTATTGAGACATACTGGCTTTCTCTGAGTGCATTTGTAAAATGTTCTGTCAGTACAAATTGATTATCAGTGTCTTCCTATCGACAATTAAAAAACGTTAACCCCAAAATGACATTTCTTCAAAAAAACATGTAACCATGGATAGATATAGATTAAATATGTTAGTAAAACTGATTTGTTGGTACTAATCATTAGTGAAATGGGTTTCAGTAAAGTAGAAGTAGAAAGGAAAATGGTTTGGGAACATGTGTATACCAATAAAAGAAGAAATATCTTCGCAAACTGTTGAACACAAGAAAGGCTTAGGCTTTGGTGTTGCTAGGTCACTTGGTAGGTAGGTAATTAGTATGGTATCAAATAAAAAATTACATTTTGTCGTCCATTCAAGGCAAGACTATTGCTAGAAACTTTAATAGAATCTTGAACTGTAGGTCACATATCGCTGTGCACTTAATAACCCAAACCACCTTAAACATTTAGTATTTCATAGTGAATTAACTTTTGAGTTATCATGTCATGTGTCCATTAAAAGAAATACAGTTGGAATAAATTGATAAATTTCATTTATTTCTTTTAGGTTAAACTTTTATTTACATTAATTTATCAATTCATGCTCACAACAGATGGCACAAACACAAATAAGAATGTATAAAAATGTGATATTACTTCAGAGTAAATAAAATATTACACAATATAATGTTAGAATAATAGAACATGTCCTGTCCACATATGAATATGAAATAATATTACAAACAGTAGGAGGCCATTTTGCCCATTTACTATGTTTGGTTACTTAATCAGGATATTGATCAGCCATTTCTTAATGGAAAAAGGCTATCAGCTTCTTCCAGAATCCCACAACCTTTAATGTCAAGAAGTTTTCAGTTTTTAATGCACTTTTCCTTTGTTTCAAAGGTTTCAAAGAAATACACTGGGATAACATTGTCAATACTTTAAAAGATTTTTTTAATGAATACTTCATTTAGTCCTATAGTTATTAAACTGAATATGACTACATTTTAGAACAGTGGCAAATTGGATAGCATTGTTGCCGTGCAACATTGGAGCCCTGGGTTCAATTCCTGGGGTGCTATTTGCATGGAGTTTGTCTGTTCTTCCTTTGTTTGAGTGGGTTTCCTGTGGGTGCTCTGGTTTTCTCCCACAGACAAGTCCAAAAACATAGTGGTAGGATAAATGGGTTCTAGGAAAATTGGCCCTGATGTGAATGAAGTGTGTGTGTTTGTGTGAGCCCTGTAATAGACTGGCGTCCCATCCAGGGTGTATCCTGCTTTACACATGTTGCTTGCCAGGATAGGCTCCAAAATATGTTTGTTGTTCATTAATGAAATAAATAACATTTCAACCTGTTATATTAAACAGTGGTATAAAAGTGCTTTTTTTTAGCCATGGTAGCTCAGACTGCAATGTAGTCTGTCTCCTGACTGGAAGGTCCTAGGTTCAATCCTAGGTAGAGGCAAGTGATGTAGCTAGCTCTAATTCCTTCCAAATGGCTCCCAGGTCCACTCAGCCTGCTTTCAAAATGAGTACCGGAGGTTAATCCTTCCATGGGTAATAGGCTAGCCTACATCACCTCCACTTCCAGTGTTGGATGGTCAAGAAAAATGTTAGTCCTTGCCCCCCATTCCCCCATGGGCCTTTATGGCCTGAAAAGGGGTCCTACCTACCTATGAAAATACTTTTACTATATATACATTACTTGATCTTGCCAAGTATATATTTAATCTAGATTTATCAAACAATTATGGTGCTATTAAAAAGATAGAATTAAAAATTAACACTTGATACATTATATGGCCCTTTCTATAGTGCTAAGTATGTGAAATTGTTATACAAAAGTTGTTTAAATTATTAGAGCATCCCCAAATTTTGGAACAACATATCAGTTGTTCAAATTGTTTAGTTGTTCACATATCAAATTACTGCTTATTATTATAAGGTAATTTTACAGTATATTGATTATGTTGCTAGATTAAAAAAAATCAGGGATTTAAAAATGTTCAAAATATACAATTCAGAATATAAAAATGTTATTAGAGATGTCCATAATTCTGGATTTGTCCACTTTTGTAAAACTTACAGCTATGGTAAATGTCATTGGCAGGTCTTTCTACTGGCTTCAAAGCATATGGATATAAAGCTTTAGCTGGAGAGCCATTTGTAATGCAATGTGATTCACCTTATCAAGGCTTTCTATACAACAATTCGGAAAAAGATGTTCATTGGTTCAAATACCCTCAGAATGGAAGTGATGCTCAGCACATCATCAATGGAAAGAATAACATTATAAAGGAGGGAAATTCCCTGTGGTTTACAGACATAGAAGACAGACATTCTGGCATATATTCTTGTAAATCAAGGTAGGTCACAGAATGCACTTCAAACATTCCATTGTTTAGTTGTGCATTTTTATATCAAAAGATAAATGGTACTTGCACAAAATGACTCTTTTCATTCATAGTAAATAATATACAATATCATAATTAATATTTACTATACAAAAGAGGTTAAATAAAACAAATGACTAAACATCCATTACCTACAGTACATTGTTTCACTTTAATATTTTTACCTTGTGATCTAAAGTAAATAAAAAGTTTGATTTTTAAAAACTAAAAGCAATTCTATAATATATTTGTAAAAGTAAATGCCAGAAAAAATAAAATGTAATGCAAACTAAATATATTTTTGATGCTGAACTACAGAGAGCACAGATTCTTCTTCTTCTTGGAGGTGAAACAGAGAAATGAAACTATCTGCCAAGATTATGGAGAAAACAGAAAGTTTTTGCTGATGGGCAGAGGTGAAGAGATAAAATGCCCTGGAGTGAGCTGTTACATTACACCAACAAATGTGTCTATCAGATGGTATAAGGTAAGCAACAATTGACATATCCTGTAAACTTCATGGAAAACAAATACATAGCCATAGCAATAGGAGGAACAGGATGATTACAATTATTATTATTAGTTTACCTATAGTGAAGAGAACAGGTAAGCACTAATTTCTAGCCATACAACAAACATTAACACATGAACATACATGGTAATAAAAAAGGACTTAATTTAAAAAATATATTATTTAAAAGTTATTTTGTTATTATTATTATTAAGACTGTTTAAGTGTGGCTTGCTTTTAATAATATTTGTATTCTGCATTTTTCAGAATGCAAAATCTGCCATGAATAAAAACAGAGGGATGAGAATTGAACAAGACAAGCTTGTCTTATACACCATCTACATAGAGGACAGTGCCAACTTCACCTGTGACTATGATTATGTTGACAAAATTAATTGGACAGTGCGAAGGGTAGTGAAAACCAAAGTCATCCGTAAGGGCTGTTATTTTTGCAGAATTTCTGTCAACTTTTTCACCCTTCTCTTCTGCTCAGTTTTAAACAGCAAAAACAGTCTTTCAGATCAAGAAAAGTCATTGTTGTCAGGGAACCTATACGTGGAATAGGAGGATCCTTATGCGTGACCGGAATCCCACAGGACACAGAGTAGCAAAGGGACAATCCAAAAGACAAAATCCAAAGGCTGGGTCGATAAGGGAGGCAGAGGGTCCGGTAACAAGAGATATTCAAAAACAATTCAAAAGGCAAAATCCAGAAGGCGAGGTCAAGAGGCGGAAGCAGAAGATTCATAACGGGAGATCAGTCAAAAGGTTTAGAAATGCACACTGGAGAATACTATAAAAGGCTTCTCAATAGTGAGAATGGGAAGGTGTGCGAAGGGGGTTTAAATACTGAAAGGAAAGGGGTGTGATTGGATGATTGGTTAGGGAGTGAGAATTTGAGGAATATAATGCATGTGAGAATGTGATGGGTTCAATGAGGGATGAGATTGGGAAGCAGAGGTTCCGGAAATGTAGCGTCGTTTGTGAGGGAGAGTGTGGGGCGTGACAATTGTAACAGGTTAGGAGGTGGAAAGAAGGTAGAGCCACCATGGGCAGGCAATGAGGTTAAAAAAGGTTAGTGTGGAGGTTAAAACAAGGAGGGTAGAGAAACCTCCGGCAAGATTAAGATATATCCTTCAGGATTTATAAGAAGGAGTGCACAAGAAACAGAATATTGGCATTATGCCTGTGGAAAATAGGGTCACATACTGTATCCATTACTTGTAGTGTTACTCATGCATGGGATCTCACAGCACACCTGGAGGTAGAGGTGCATGTTAACCCAATAACTGCAGTATTTGAGACTACAGCGAAGGTTAATGGTATGGTGATGCAGACTTGTCAACTTGGGTAGTGATTTAACCTTATTTACTTTTGCAGTAATAGATCAAAAACAAATCCCATCTATCTTGAGATAAGGAATCACATGGGTACGCAGAGATGTAAGATATTTTGCCATTGCAACTGCACCTGTGCACATCACCATTCTTATAATGTACTGGCTGTAGTCGTGCACTAGTTAACAAACTCCATGATTAAAGGGAGAGGTTTTCCAGGGTTTTCTGATCTATTGCAAGGGAAAATCCTAAAAAAAATGCAAAGTCAGATGAGGTTGCAGATGTGTATCGTTTTGTGGATGACCAATATGAGCTTTGTGGACAGTCAATAAAAAGAGGGGGATATCATAGCATGAGTACATTTTAGTTATTGTGGACTACACCACTCACTATCCAGTGGTATTAGAAAAGTTATTTATCTCTTGTTGTCTGTGGGACTTACTAAATACAGTATATGGAAAGAAAGGAAATAGGAAGTGCCCGGTACACTAGTGGTTATTTTTTGTATACACAATGAGCAAACTGTAGACCTACATGCAACTCTGTTTAGTGTCCTTCATGATCGGACTTGGTACATAGAAATTAAATTCTTATCATTATTGGTGTAGTAGCCAGAGAAATACTGTATGGAGTCTCCTCGGCCAAGAAGAGAGAGATAATTAAATAATTGAGAAAAGCTGCAGCCCTTGATCTAGTCCCATTGTGTTAATCACAAAACTTGACAGGACATGGCAAATGACTTTCAGAAATTGAATTGCATGTTGAAATTCTACTCATACCCGCTGCCCCATGTGGATGAGCTTATTGAGAAGCAGAGTAAGCAAAATACCTTACCACTTAGATTTAACCAAGGGGTATTGGCAGATATCTTTTGAAGAAATGTCTAAAGAAAAAAAAAAGAGTAAACAGTAGAGTTTATTCCATGCTGAAAAAAAGAAGAAAGAGAACACAACGTTTCGGCCGTGGAGCCTTCTTCAGGTGTGAGAGAGACAAGGCAGTAGGCAAAAGAAATTTAGCGGGAGAACAAAGGCTGGGAGGGAGGAGGAGTGAGAGGCGGGAGCAGGGGACAGAAAGAGAGGCCAATCAAGAGGTGTGAAGTCAGAATGGGTGTAGAGAGGTGTGAAATGAAACTTCCAATGAATGGAGAAAATTTAAAAGAACAGTAGTCTGTCGTTAAGAGAAGGGAGAATGTGTGATCCTAGCTGCAGAATAATTTTGGTTTCGGTAGTCTTTCTGATGTATGAGTTCGGAAAACCGTCTTTGAGAACACAGATGGAGAGATTAGAGTGGTCGTGGCCGTCAGAGGTGAAATGAGAAACAATGGGCTTGGAGAGACCAAAGGAATGCGGTTGTTACGGTGGGAGTTTCGTTTCGGGTTGATGGTCCGGGGGGTGTTTTTGGCTCAGGCAAGGGCCCTGTCAATCACAGTGCTGGGGTATCCTCTGTAGGAGCTCCGCAGCTACCCACCTGAATCATTATACTGTGCTTCCTTTTGGTTTACACGGTATTCCTGCAAACAGAATCCTGAGAGCTCACATTTCATATACCCTGCGTATTTTGATGACGTAATTATTTTTAGCGAGGGCAGGGAATCACATCTGGAGCATTGTAAGCCTGTAATGGACAATATAGGAGACGCAGGATTATTGATAAATCCAAATAAGAGTCACATGGCCTTTACAACCATTAAATACTTGGGGTATCTAGTTGGAGGGGGTCTGGTACAACCCCTTCTGAATAAAATGGCAGCTATAAAGAACTAGCCTAAGCCCCAAAAGAAGGAGCAAGTGTGAACATTTTGGGGGTTGGGTGGGATACTACCATCGCTTCATCCCCAGGGTTGCTGAGAGTTGCTGAGATTTTACTACTACTAGACTATGTCCCTGAAAGAGTCATGACATTAGTCTTATGACTTTCCACCAAAGTATTTTTGGAAGTAAGCTCCCAATGTTTGAATGTACAGTACAGTATAATTTTCAAACCTTTAGTATTATCCAAAATTACAATAATATAATAGAAAATAGACATAAGTTAACAGAATGCATACTGTATACAATGAAACAATTTCTTATATAAATCTTATATAAGACATGGGAAAAAATATACTAACATGGGAAAAAAATATTCAGACAGACAACCAAACACAAATAGATAACATAAATAGAAATGTAGAACAAAAATGGCGGTACTAAAAACACTATAATAAAATAAAGACTAAGTGGCCTTTGGTACATTGGTTACGTTAATCTGACAGGTTCTAGATAGGAGGTTGTTTGGTCAATCATGATGGTGTATCTCAGCAATAGCATGAGTAACATGGGGATAAAGAATGCAGTGGTATGGCAACAATAAATACAGTATATAATAGATGGTCGAATAAGAATCAGTTAAATAATGTTTGTAGTTTTATTTCAACTTAACTGGTCTAACCTGAGGCACAGACAGACATCATGACTTTTTTCAAAACTTGAAGAAAACTAATAAACAGGGATTTTCAGCTACTTCTTCTAGACAGACCTCTTAACAAGGACCCAATGTATTAAACTTGAAAGGTAATAGAAATGATCAAATATTAAAGGCATAGGTGCATGTTCAAAGATTTGCATAGGTTTTGGTACAAAACATCCATTGAAACAGAAAAAGCATCCAAGTACCACCTACAAGTCATCTTCTCATAGGAGCCCCAGAAAATCTCAATGACCAACATGAGTGCACGTGTGGGCACACACACTCACTCACACACATATAATAAATATTATAATAATAAACTTTATTTGATATAACGCCTTCAAATTGGCTTCTCAAAGCGCTTTACAGAAAAAAAACAGGAACAACAACAAATAAAAATAAACAATAAAAAAGCACCATTTCAGTGAGAGGGGTGAGCCTGTTTAGTCGAGCAAAGCAGATGTGAATTCGTGTTTCGAGCCTTAATACATTTCACAACAGAGACTAACAGATTTTAAACCGTCAGGCATTTTCTTGACGGCAAAGGTCTCACGGTGGATGTTGCAATGCGTCCATTCATTTCTGGAGCAACCTCTCTAATTCGTGCAACTACACCGATGTGACGGCTTGTTATTGCTCTAGCACCATCTGTACAAACACTGATGCATTTTATCCAGTCGATGCCATTCTCTTCGATAAATTCATTCAGAAGTTGAAATATGTGCTTTCCTGTAGTTCCTGTTGGTAGCGGTTTACAGAACAGAAAGTCCTCTATACCGTACCCTCAAAGTCGTATCGAACGTACACGAGCAAATTGGCCAAATCGACTACTCATCTAATTGCAGTGAAAAGCATCTGCTCATCTTAACGCTCTCTATCAGCGTACTTTTGATATAATCCGCCATTTCAACAATTCTATAAGTGACTGTGTCTTTCAGAGGTGGCAGCAGTTCGTGCTGTTGAGCAGCTTTTTCTCCACACATAATACGTGTCAGCTCTTTTGCCAATGGTAAATAAGGTTGTTCAAAAATAGCGTGGGGCTTACCTGTTTTAGCAATCCGCAATCTTGCATTTTTCCCCGATTTCGTTTCAGGAGAAATGAAATTTGCTCTTGAAGCTAAACAAGCATATTCATGTGAGGGATAAAATAGAACTGAAATTAATATAAACCTAAAAGACATGAAACGGAAACCAGTTACTTCCTTTGGTATTTATTGTGTGTAAAAGATGAAAATGAAAGAATACATATTAATTTGGAAGAACTGCACCTTGAGTTTATTTGTTGTCATTGTTAATTTTCTAGAATTAAAACACACAAACAGTATACAGAACAGCAACAAAAAACACTTGACCAGCAATTCTTATTTACCTACATTCTTAAATGTGTAGGGGCACTGAATCAGCATGACGTTGCAAAATAATGGCAACTTCACTTGCACAAGCTTCTGCTTTTGTTGTTGCAGCTGCTTGTGCTGTTATTTGGTAATGTTTGTGAGAAACTTCTGCCACATTTCCTCATAATCTGTAATTAACTGGGAAAGTACAACAAAACTGATGGAAGTGATCTTCTATTCTATTCTATTCTTCTATTTATATAACTATTTATTGAGTTAATGTATGTGACTCATTTAAAAAAATACAATAAATACAAAATGTTTTTTTCAGAGAATATCTGTTTCATATTAAGGTATTTTATTTGTTATTGCTGATGTCTTTATCCAAGAATACTTACAAAAGTAACAAGAAAAAAACATGCAATTATTTAGAAGGTACTGTACAAGTAAAATGATCACATTTCATAGGTTTATAGGTTCTATATTGTAGCAAGGGAGTCTACACATTGTTATAAGCAAAACTTAAATACAATCAATTGTGTGAAATGTGCACACAACACAGCATATGAGCAGTGCTGGTGCAAAAGCCAAAATGAAGCCCAAATAATAGCAATAGGTGAAAATTAACTCAGTTCTAATTGTTCAAAAAAACATTAACTGGTGGGTTATTGCAGGGAATTACTACATTGCAGTTTTATTCAGATTATTAAAATGTATTGGAAGAACTTGCATTCAGTAAAATATACTATTCCCAAACTTGTCATGATAATTATGTTGTGACAATAGTTGTGTTCTGGTAAACATTTCATGAAAACCAAATGGTGATGACTAATGCCATGTTTTTATTCATCTGTCATGTAAAATCTCTGGCTTGAGATGTCTTGATGTCTTGCATAATGAAGAAGTGCTACTCTTCCATTACCCTTCTTACATCTTTCATTATTTACAGCTTTGCACCACTAACAATATTCTATTTGCTATTAAAAATAAAGGTCTACATATTCAACTCTCAATGTTAGTTTAAAAAAAAAATGGTGTCAATTTTGCAGAAAAGGATACAGAGAGACCGCCACAGATTCTTAATCCTTACAGAAGCATGACTGTTGAAGTGGAATTAGGTAGGTAGGAATTAGGTTTGTTATCATTGCATATTATTGGTATAACAGTTTTTTTTAAATAACTGCATAATTATTAACTCTCAGTTCAATTCAAGTTGAATCAGTTTGCTTAACAGTATACAGTTAACATTTGTAAAAAGACTTAATACTTAATATTCATAATCTAGTTTTATAACACCATAATTTAAACATAATCTAATGATTCTAAAACAATGTACAGTTTTTAATTTTCCAATAATTGGAGCATGAGAACTATAAATTGTAATCTCAATGTCTGAACAGGTGGGCTAGTTTGGACTTTGTCTACAGGAAGTATTTATTTACAAAGTGAAGACTTTGAACACATTTACATTTACAGAGGTCTTTTGAACACATTTACATTCTGCATCATCTCCTGTAATTGAAAACTCAATGTATAAAAATCCCAGGTGCCGAATGACTTTTCTAAATACTTTTATTCCAAGATTAAATGCTTCAGATGTTTGTCGAATCATGTGAGCTCTTCAGGCTGTGCTTACAGTACTCACTGTGAAATGTGAATGCTTTAATATATTGTGCTTCAGAAAATCTTGTGTGTAATTTCTTCATCTGTTCTTGGGTGGAGAGGTACAGGTGTTGTGGTAGTAAATCAGTCAGGTTGGATAGTTTTTGGTTCTTCTGAATTGTTAGTTAATTGGTAATTCCTAAAATTATTTGAATAAAATAATGTTAAAACTGCCTCCTGAAATGACTTTGTTTATTATTATAACAGGGAAACCATTTACTCTTCATTGCAAAGTGCAATTTGGCTTTGAAAGAAACTTCACTCCAGTGATTAAATGGATGATGCATTACAATGAAAATTCCACAAGTATTTTACTTGAAATGGACAGGCCACGGTAAGTGATGATGCTGCTACAATGAGTTACCATACTTATTTCTCATATACTTTTGGAAGTAATAAAAAATAATTTTATATTACATGTCTGCATACATACACAGAAAATGTTATGCTATTAGTTCAGAAAGTTTATGAAATTCTTTTTTCAATATAATAAACCTCAAACACACCAACAAACCAACTTAAAAAGAGCAAGGTAAAAAATTAGACATAGAATCAATATTCTATTATTTGTCAGAAAAAGTGTCTGAAACACAGAAGACCTCAGTTTTACAATAAATCCAAGAACTTTAATTAATTGGGTATTCAATTAAATCTGTATTCATTTATTTAAACTTTTGTGGCGATTTCACAGAACTGTGGAACAGACCATAGGTGAAGAAATAATTATTCAGAGTGCTCAGCTGAAGGAAGTGACTGAGCAACATCTTGAGGCCACATTCATATGTTTTGCACAGAACTCTAAAGGCAATGAAACCAGCATATTGAAGCTAAAGAAGAAACCAGAAGGTAACCAGAATCACTACAAACTATAAAGGAATAATATTGTCCTGCCTATTGGTGTCATAAACACTTGAGAATTGGAGACAGGTATATGTGTATGAATTATATACTGTACTAGTACCTAACAAGTTATTGATAAACTCCTACATAGAAGATTATTGGGTACATAATTGCTCTCACAACCAATGGTGGCCATATGCGTTACAATAATTTACTAATAAGGCATAGGTATTTACTAGCACCCAATAAATTGTTTAAATTAGTAATGCTTTCCTTAAATATGTAAATTAGTAATGCCTGCCTTAAAGGTGTATCCTATTCTGAAGTCTGATATCTGAAGTGTTAATAGTGCTTTAGGTCCTAATTTGTCAAAATAATTAGAGTACAAAACATATTTTATTTCCATTTCATTTTTTATTTTATTACTGCCTTCAGACTTTTGAAAAATACAAAGTATGCTGCTCACTAAAATGTTCTAAACAAAAAACATCTTATACAGTTTATGTAAGTTAAGAGTATCAATAACTTACTCAAAACCTCTGTTGGTATTTTCAAGCATTAGACAACTTTAATTTTTAATAATATATTTTAATTTATTTTATAAATGAAATATTTCATTAATTCATATTTATTAGGTGCTTCAGAAAAATGTTAGGAATCCCTGGTGGGAAGATACACGGATCCAGAGCAGACGCAGGCACGGGTGATAGATGAGGCAGGGGAACAAACCAAAACGAGAGGCAAGGTCGTAGTCAAAGGCGAAAGGCAAGTCGTAATCCAGGAAGTTCTCCGGTAGCAGATAGTCCGAGGCGAGAGGCGTGGTGCAAAGTCGAAAAGGCAGAAGGGGAATCCAAAATCCAGAATAAACGAGGTACGGGGAAAAACGCCAGGTAGAGCTCTCAAGGAGTAGACTCAGTACCGAGTACCTATAAAAGTTGGCAAAACCTAGAAAACGTTGAATTTGCTTTAAGTTACGAGGGGCTGGCCAGTCATTGATGGCCGCCACCTTAGCAGAGTCCATCTCTACACCAAATGAGGAAATGATGTAACCCAGAAAGTGAATTTTAGAGGTGTGGAAAACGCACTTCTCAAGCTTGGCATAGAGTTTGTTATTGTTAATGTTAATGTTATTGTTTGTTAATGAGTCTAGTCAGGACCTCCTGGACGTGGTGGACATGATCCCTAGGGTTGGCAGAAAAGATGAGGATATCATCCAGGTAAACCAAAACAAAATTCCCAATAATGTCCCTAAAGATGTCATTCATGAATGACTGGAAGACAGCCGGGGCATTAACAAGACCAAAAGGCATCACCTGATATTCATAATGTCCATGGGTGGTCATAAAGGCCGTCTTCCACTCATCCCCTTCACGTATCCTGATTAGGTTGTAAGCCCCTCGTAGATCTAACTTCGAGAAGATGGAGGCTCCCCGTACGGACTCCAAAGCGGCTGGAATTAAAGGCAGGGGGTAACGATGTTTAACCGTAATGGAGTTCAGTCCTCTGTAATCAATACACGGCCGCAAGGAGCCGTCCTTCTTCCCAATAAAGAAAAAACCCGCACAGGCTGGAGAAGAGGAGGGACGAATGAATCCTGACTCCAGAGCCTCCTTAATATAGTCTTGCAAAGCCTGATTCTCTGCCTGAGTGAGAGTGTAGATCCGTCCTTTGGGTGGAAGGGTTCCCGGGAGCAACTCTATAGCACAGTCACAGGTACGGTGAGGTGGAAGCGAAAGAGCCTTCCGCTTATCAAAGGCTTGTTTCAGATGCCTGTATTGGGGCGGGATGGTAGAGTGCTCCTCCATAGAGGTTACTGCAGCAGCAACCTTAACCGGCTGACGACAACAGTTTACATGACAAGAGTGGCTCCAGGCAATGAGCTCGTTCTTGTCCCAGGAGATGTGGGGATCGTGCTTCTTGAGCCAGGGAAGACCTAGGATTACCGGGTAGGCAGGGGAGTCCAGGAGAAGGAGTGAAATTTCCTCAACATGAGTAGCACCAACTGTTAGAGAGAGGGACGGTCTGCCATGTAATCCGTCCAGGTGCAATGGGGGATCCATCCAGAGCTTGAATACAGATCGGGGGTGAGACCGGAGCCAGGGGAATATCCCACTTCTTAGCAAAAGTGACGTCTATAAAGTTCCCCGCTGCCCCTGAGTCAACAAAAACCAAAAGGGGAAGTTGTGCGTCAGCCCAAGAAATTTCAGCTGGGAATAAAGGGCCTGATGAG